CTCTACTACTACTACTTGAAAAAATATTGCTTTGTGTTCTGCCCTCTTACTCTTTGAGTTGCATTTCACTGTCAGTTGGTACAGTTCTCTAACCGGCCTGATTTATTTTTAAAAAAATTTTTCTTTAATTTTTCTTTTTTTTCTAAAGACACAGCACAACAAACCTTAAGACAATGGACACCGGACATTAAGACAGAGGTGGGCCACCCCAGTCTTTACAGTCAAGTATAATTACTCTTCTTCTTGTGTGTACTCTGCCAGCATTACTATGAAGTCCAAGATGTGGCCCTAGTTTGTGCAGTTTCAGCACCGTGCTTATACAAGAACATCCTGCCTGATTTCCTTGGCGGCACTTTTGGTCACACGAAGCGAACTGCTTTGGAGTGCTTTCTAGGGGCAGAGACCTTAGTGGGGGTGTGGGTGGTCAATGAGAGGATGAGGTTGAAGGTTTGAAAACTTAAGAGTCAATTAGCTCTGATTGATCCCAGGCTATAAACCATTCTGTGTGCTTTGGTCACAAAGGAATTTGGGGGAGATTTGTCAGCACAGACTTCTCAACATTAGTAAGAGAAGCTGTTCAGAGCACGTGGCATGGAGTATTGATTTTGTATGTGAAAGAAAGTGTCTTATAGGACCAGCATTTAGACATTAATGAGGCAAGAGGGAAGAAAGTGTAGATCATTAGACTGGGGGAGTGTTCTGTATGGGTTAGCTTTTAAAGGGTTTTCTGTCTCAGTGTGTCTTGAATTTTTAGAATTACTGGCAAGTGCCCTGGACAGTGCCTACATCTCAGAGCCTCTGGTGAGAGGCATGTGCTGCTTTAGAGGCCAGCCCGTGTGCTGGATGGAAGATGCCCGTGGATGTTTGTAGTAGGATCCTTCCCTATGCGGGGTTGTCTGTGAGTGCCAAAGCATTTTTCTCTTTGTGACAATATCAAGTGACTCCAGAAACTTGAGACTGAATGTTTGGCATGTCAGATTTTTATCAAGTTCTCTAATAAGTCAAAGACTCTTAGCAATGAAATAGCAAAGACTGTATAATTATTTTAGAGATTACTCTTGCATTATGTAGCTAGTCTGTATTTTTCTTCAGAAAAATGCTCTGAACATTTTTCTTCAGCTTGCTAACTTCTTGGTTCACCCATTAGCTGCCTAATACATTTTTTCTGACAGGTTAATATTTGTTATCCACAGCCTGTGTGGCTGTCAGACTCGCTTTTTTGTTCCTTCTGCTTTTTCCCTGCTTCTGCTTAATTTCCCCTCAATTATAAAATAATTGAGATAATAGGAGATAGCACACAGAACTTTTAGCTCACAATAAATAGTTATTGATGTTTATGCACTACTTTATAGTACAGAGGGCGTGTCATCCCCTTTGAACATCATGAAACCCTGTGAGGTAGGAATGATTGGTTCAGCCATGTTTGTTGAGGAAAAAACTGAAGCTCAGAGACTGTATGACAAACCTGTTTAGGCCACAGGGCTAATTAGTGGCAGTTTAGGACCTTGGGTTACAAATCTCATTTCTTCCAGTATATCTTCTGGTTTGAATTCCTTTTGATCCAAATACATTTTCTTGGAAGAGAATGGAAGTGGTTTCTTTTTTTTTAAAGCTCAATTTAATGGGCTTAATGAATAACTGACCATTATAATGATGCAATATTTTTTTCCTTAAGGATTATGACTATGCAAAAGAATATGTTTATTAAAAAAAACTTTTGAAAATATTTACCTGATCTATGGATCAGGTGAATGTAATGTGTTACCTCTAGTTGAAGAAATTTTCTAATTTTAGTCCAATGATCTCATTTAAAGGAAAAAAAGCTAACCAGAAGCATAAGATGTATAATTCTGAGTTTTTTTGGATGGTATATTATAGTCAAGTTTTAAAAATTTCATTTGTAAGTATTGCCAGTGTATAAAATTGAAATTGATTTTTTATCTATTGACCTGTATTCCATGACCTGGCCAAATTAAATTCTTTATTGGTTTTACTAGCTGTTATTTTAGTAGTTTGTAGATTCCTTAGGATTTTCCATATAGACTATAATGTCATCAGCAAATTGAGACCATTTTCTTTCTTTCTTTGTGATCATTGTGCCTTTTTCTTGCCTTATGCAATGTAAATGCTATAATAATAAGCACATGTTTGTGCTAATGCTGTCATAATGTTCTTGTTGTGACAAGAGTCCTTTATGTCTGGCTTATAAACCATATCTACAATGTTGGAAAATTTTATTAGAAATTAAAAAAATAAACAATCTTGAGGTATTGGAACCTTAAAATTATTTTTCATATATTTGCAATGAGCATCAATGTCTGTTTTGATACTGTAATTTGTGCTCTTCTAAAATTCAATGTAAGGATTTTTGGTAGGTGTTTGTTGGCAATTCTGACAGGTGCTTAAAATTCTTGCTTTTTAAAAAATTATTTGGACAGGTGAGACTAATAGCATAATAAAAATCTATTTCTGCTGAGGAAAGGATGGCTGATTTTATAGGCTAAGTTTACAGAGAAGCGCATTAAGCAAAGTGAGAGAAAAGGAGAGATGAAACTGGGATAGAAAACC